ACTTACGGCCTTGGGTCACATCTAAATTATACTTAGGAATCAATTTAGGGCAAATCAACGTGCAGTAATGTTTAGCAAGCATTACCTATTTTCGATCCACACTGGGTTCTTCAATACCTTCGGCATTGGACCACATCTAAATTATGCTTAGAAAATCAATTTAGGGCAATTCAACGTGGGAGTAATATTTAGCAAGCTTGTCTCACTAGACCTAACTGAATAGTGAGTTCGTTCCTCACTTCGGTGATCACAAGGAAACCGGTTTTGCGACGTGATGCGGTCGTAAGCAAAGTACACTTCAGGTACAACATGTGCGTGATGTATAGTATGCTTATGGTACCACTGCCTTTCTCTGGTTGGCCACAAATTTTCTCACCGTCGCCTGGATTTTTTCACTCCCCACCTACCTATCTTTTATTAAAACACCCCGTTTATAGCATATTGAGAAAAATTCCGACCCCGTCAATTATTACCAGCCCCTCTATTAGGCAACTTATTAAGCCTATTTTTTTGTACTGAAGTTTAAAAAATACAAGACTCATGAGCCTCTCAGTGTAGAGAGTTAGAGAATGAGGTATACGACTGAACGTAAGAGGGGGAAATAAAAAAGTGAATATGAAGAGATAGAAGATAGATAACAATTGAATATATATACATGTGTGTGTATGTATGTGTGTGTGTGCATGAAAGCGGAACTGCGTAGAAGTGGGTATGTGTATACGTATATGCGCTGTATGGATATGTCGTTCCGAGTGTATGCAAGGGTACATGTGCACGTTTATGCGTGTCTGGGCAACACGTGGGGTCTAGAAGATTGTGTGTGTGTGTGTGTGTGTGTGTGTGTGTGTGTGTGTGTGTGTATGTGTGTGTGTGCACGAACGCGTGCGTGAAGGCAAATACGTGTATGAGTATGTTTGTGTATACATATCATTTTGTGTATATATATATATATGTGTGTGTGTGTGTGTGTGTGTGTGTGTGTGTGTGTGTGTGTGTTTCGTTTGTATGCAAGGGTACATGTGAATGTTTATTCGTCTCTGTGTAACACATGGGATCGATAAAATTGTGTGTGTGTGTGTACGTGCTACATATACATACGGATTACTAACCCAAAAACAGAGAATGTCTCATATCGAGAATATTTAACATTGAAAAACATAAGGAAAAAATTAATTATTTTTATTAATATGTTGAAATCTCCGCTTTTAACTGAAGACGGTCGCGAGACCAGAAACACGTGTAGTAAAATTATGGAAAATAAAGCATAATATCTTTTTCTAAAAAAATCCACATTAGAACCAAAAACGTTTGCGGCACCTATCTTCTCTTCTTTTTAATATACATAATTTTCTCTCATTGGAACAACTACAACCTTTTTCTCTCTATATATATATATATATATATATATATATATATATAGATATATATATATAATTCAATTCAAGAAAGACATACGGATTACTAACCCAAAAACAGAGAATGTCTCATATCGAGAATATTTAACATTGAAAAAAAACATAAGGAAAAAATTAATTATTTTTTTTTAATATTTTGAAATCTCCCTTTTACCTGAAGACGGTCATGAGACCAGAAACCCGTGTAGTAAAATTATGGAAAATAAAGCATAATATTTTTTTCTAAAAAAATCCACATTACAACCAAAAACGTTTGCGGCACCTCTCTTCTCTTCTTTTTCATATAAGTACTTTTCTCTCGTTTGAACCACTGCAACCTCTTTCTTTCATAACCTAAAGAGGATAAAATCCAGAGAGCTCAATGTAAATCCAGAGCAAATAATTTAAATAAAAACAGACCACTTTAAGGTTCCATGTAATAAATTATTTGACCACAGCCCTTTTAAAGGACTGAGGATCATCAGACTTTACTTCCAAACAAAATATTTACACATTTTTGACGGGCCGTATCAAACATATGTAAATTAACAAAGTGAGGAAGTGAGGTGGGAGAGAGAAGACATGAGTGAGTTCGCAGATATTGACACATTTAGATGGTTAACTTAAAGGAAGTTATATATTGATATCGAAGGGGTAGAGAAGAAAAAAACCATAGAGGGAAAAAGAGAGAAGGAAGTTATGAGAGAAGGTGTCACTAATTTTCTTTGTAAAAAAAGACTAGAAACAGACGCTGTTATTTTGTTTTACTTTGAAAGTGTTATTTTGGGGATAATGATTATGTTTGATATAAATTTGAATGTCTCTAAACTGTCTACAAATGATTTAATTTGATGTTTGTTAGTGTTTTAAATTTTTTTTTAAATTTTGGGGATTTTCTATGAAATAGTTGATTTGAAAGTATATTAAAAGAATAAAATTTTATTTTAAAATATAACTTTACTTCTAGTAATCTTTTTTTAATCTCTTTAAAAAAAAATTATTATTGATTATTAAGTTGACATCTCTATCCGTTTGAATTTTGTTCATGAATTTAACTCGTGACTGTTTCTAGATAGGTAATCTCTTTTACTTAAATTTTAGTTAATATGGGGTAATATACATATGCATACATATATATATATATATATATATATATATATATATATACACACACACACACACACACATATATATATATATATATATATATATATATATATATATATATATATATATATATATATATATATATGCACATTCAACAAAACAGAGGGAAATACGTGAACAGGGGGAAAATGGCGTATTGGGTGGGTAATATAAGAAATTTAGGAAAAACAGATCTAGATTTAAGGAAGCCAAAAAGAGAAATGCCCCGAGGGAGAAATCTAAGAGCAAAAATGTTTAAAAAAAGAGAAAAAAATGAGTCATCTATTATATTTACTTTCATTTTTTATTCTCTCTCTCCCCCTCTCTCTCTCTCTTTCTCTCTCCCTCTCTCTCTCTCTCTATATATATATATATATATATATATACTTTTTTATGAAGATGGCGTACTCAAAATCGCTGGCGAGACCACGAACATTATATAGATTACTGCTATTATTTATTTGAATATTGGCTTGTGGCTCTCCTTCAAGATCAAATGACAGCGACTCTCCTCAGAATTCAATGCTTTCGTTACCTTTAGCGTTTCTTTACATTGTATTAATGATTTCTGCTTGTCATAATCTTCGCGACTTCGATTTCAAAAGAACTCCCAGCAGCCAATGTTCAGCCGAACAAGTATCACGTCAAAATTTCTTGCTGCCACATTTTGAAAGCCGGTTCCAGAACTTAAAAGCGAACAAATTGCCTACATAAGAAAATAACATGAATTGAGTAGGTACACAAAAAAAAGAAAGGAGCGTAAGACAATGGTGTGTCTTCTCACCGGATCTATTCAAACTCTACAGCTATCCTAAGAGAGATGGAAACCCTGACATAATTTGTTATTAGTGGGTTCAGTCTTGACAATATAACATTCTCGGACGACACTGTGTTCATGGCAGATGTAGAAGGAAAATTACATGAATTCCTAGACATGGTAATAAAGGTAAGCGTGAAGAAAGGAATATCTATCAACTGTAAGACGACCGAATACATTGTTCACAGCAAGAGAATAAGCCAAGATGAAAAATTACAATGAGAAATGTCAAAATCAAACAAGAAGTTTAAATATCTGTTTTAGCAGATGATGGAATAAGTGACCTGAAATTCAAAGGCGGACTGAAACAGAAAAAAAAGGTGCCTTCCAAAAACTCAGCAAAGTATTAAAAAACAGGAAAAATTCATTAGATACAAAGAAAAGAAAGCTGAACTCTTATGTAATATCAATCTTCCTGGTTTTTTTTCCTCGGGAGATTTGAGGCAACAGAAATATGGTTCAACAAAAGACTAAGAAAAACATGGACGGAGCATGTAAGCAACGAGGAAGTTTTAAAGAAAATGAAAACAAAATGGATACTTCTGTTCAGAATCAAAAGAAGCAGCGAAAACACACAATGAGGAAAGAAGGCTTTGAAAAGTTAATCCTCACAGGATAGATTGACAGGAAGAAAGACGGAGAGACAGAGAAAGAGAAAGGGGAAGGGTACGGTAAAAAATATAGATACTGTTAACATATACAAAGAATAGGAAGCTGTGGAGTACCATAGGAGGATGACCAAGCCATGACTCTTATTATATTGAAGATTTTACTCTAAATGTGAATAAGGCATTTAAATTTGGCTTCGATGATAAGTAGCCGAAATACGAAAGAAACGTGGATCTACAGAAGGATACTGAGAATGCCATCGACTGAGCATAGACTGCATAGAATCAGAAATAGACTTAAATTTTAGGGATACATAATAAAGAAAAAGGGTTTAGGCAGTTTGACACTCACAAGAAATATCGAAGGAATAAGTCACAGTGAGGGCAACTTATGAGAATGGATGACAGAACGGGGTGTAGGTGAAATGATAAAGAAGACAAGCATTGCTGAGACTTACAAAGGAAGTTGTGGAATGCCATGATCGTCCATGGGCTGAACGGACGCGGCATACAGAAAAAGCAAGTGAAAATCAATTTGCAATTGCATTTGGCAAAAGTGCTCTTCCCAGCGGCATAAATCCTTCACTTCCACCCCAACTTAAATAGCAAGGCTGACTGAACGCTGGTTGACAGTTTGGGTAAAGAAAGAATCTGGATTCTAAATTGGTTCTTTCCCAAGAAGACGTGGCAATTCACACACATTAAAGGAGACCAGGTTTTGGAGTGGCATAACCCAACGGCCATGAAGCGATATGGCATTTAAAAAATCAGACTGTTTTCATTTAGCTGATGGTGATTGTGTTTTGTCATGCCTTTGGGGTCTGCACGCACTACACCTGGAAATTGTAAAGTAGTCTCACTCGCTTCTTCTTTGGCAGATATTCTGGTTTCTTAATCGTTTTATTCATAGTGAGTAGGGGCCATCTGAATAGCTTCACGTATCTCATTAATTTCCTCTGTCTAATGATATTTTTCTCTTTATCTATCTATCTATCTATCTATCTATCTATCTATCTATCTATCTGAATCTGTCTAATGATATTTTTCTCTTATCTATCTATCTATCTATCTATCTATCTATCTATCTATCTGAATCTGTTCTCATCTATCTATCTATCTATCTATCTATCTATCTATCTATCTATCTATCTAAGTCTACTTAAAACATCTATGTGTGTCTGCCTACTCAAACATTATCTTTCTATCTATCTATCTGAATCTGCTCTCATCTATCTATCTATCTATCTATCTTAATCTGTTTCTATTTATCTGCCTACTTAAAACATCTATCTTAGTGTTTGCCTACTCAAACATTATCTATCTATCTATCTATCTATCTATCTATCTATCTATCTATCTATCTGTTCTCATCTATCTATCTATGTCTACTTAAAACATCTGTTTCCGCCTACTCAAACATTATCTATCGATCTATCAATCTATCTACACACACACACACACACACACACACACACACACACACACACACACACACACACACACACACATATATATATATATATATATATATATATATCTTTCTCAGTTTCTTATTTTCTATCAATGTAATTATATATATTCGTTCGTTTCATTTAGTCCCCATTTCCATATCTGTCATATCATATCTATCGGATTCTTTTTTAGTGTGTTCTTATTCATCAGTCACTCACCCAATCAGTTGCTTGCATCCTGGGTAAGACGATAAACTACGTCCAGCAACAAGGCCTCTGATAAGGAGGTTTTGAGGAGCGTAAAACCATCTCTTAATTGTGTGGTGTTCCCAGGCCGACCCTGACCTAAGGTGGTAGCACTTGTTAGGATCCCAGCCATGGGCAAATAGTTAACCCCAACCTGGGCTAAAAAACATATGAAAGTGTAAAAATAGGTTTTAATACTAGGAAATAACACTTTGTAAAAAATTATTACCAGCAATAAATTTTTGAAGAAAAAAAAAACTATTACCAGCAATACATTTTTGAAAAAAAATATTACTAACAATGGTTTCTACAATTAAATATTACCAGCAATACATTTTTGAAGGAAAAATATTGCCAGAAATAGATTTTTCATAAAACAAAATATTAACAGCAATAAAAATTTTGTCGGCATTAAATAACCCATTGAGGTTGATATGCCATAAAACAAACCAAACCAAACTGACATGTCTCGGAAAGGGATATATTTGAATGAAGTATCTAAGTGGTTTTGGCTAGTAGAAATACGGTATCAGTAAGCGACTGGTACGCGTCGTAGTCGCAGGTAAGAAGTATAGAGCAATGGCGTAGTCCAATGGACGTCGTTATAGACTTAGCTCTTAGACTAAGGCTCTTGACTCTCCTACACGTCCGTCTGTATTTATGACAGACACCAGCCAATTCCAGTGAGGTGTATGCATATTCCATTATATCACAAACCAAACCAAACCACTCAGTTCCTTATCTATCTATCTATCTATCTATCTATCTATCTATCTATCTATCTCAGTCTTATCTATCTATCTATCTATCTATCTATCTATCTATCTATCTATCTATCTATCTATCACGCTAAGCTAGCTGTTTTCTATTTCCTTCTTGTCTTTATATCTGTTTGTCCATCCGCCCCATCCTTCCTTCCTTCCTATCTATCTGTCTATCCCATTATATCTGTTTCGCTCAGTCTTTTCCATCCCTTTTATTTTTTCCCTCTTTTCTTTCTTTATCGCAGGCTATTTACGTTAAACTCGGCCAAATTCATCCTTCTCTCTTCCTCTTTCTCTCTCTCTCTCTCTCTCTCTCTTTCTATCCCTCTCCGAGTGAAAGAGAAAGTCAGAGAATCAAATCATTCGATCCATGCTTACACTCCAGAAATAATTACCTTTAAACAATAACAAATTTATTAACAAATTAGAATTTCTGTTCATGTTCATCCTACTGCGAGATCTTTTCATATCATCTTTACAATATTATCATTCCCACATTAACAAACATTTTTACATTAGTTTTTATCAGACATTTTCTAACTGTATAATTCGCTATTTGAAATGGCGATAACGGAACTGTTCGGCCATAGGTCACTCAAAAGATTTCACTTGCCTTACAGATACCTTACTTCCGTCACCCTTACCCAGTTCACTCACCTCTCGACATTTCAGACCATCCCAGGTTTCAGACGTTCTCAGATGGTCGTTGAAGATCTAAAGCGGCCATTATTTGTACCTGAACAAATTCGCGCCATTGCCGACGTGAAATCAAGACATGAAGAGAGTCTGTGATTGTTTTTGATTTTGTTTTGCAGGAATCGGCTGCGAAACGGAAGGCGCCGACTATTCTCGACTTCCACTTTTCGCAAGGCCAAAACTTTTTCCTCCGGCTTTGAACCTCACAAGAACTTTCGCCATTTTTGTACCACTTTGATGGTTCCTTCCCTACGCCAAACTTACTCGCCGATTCGCAAATATTTGATAGCGTGATCTTATAGATGGCGTCTGCAAAGTTATCATAATATTGCTTCTTCAGTTTTATTTATTTCATCATTTTTCTTATTTTTCTTATTTCTCTTCTCCTTCTCATATTTTTCTCTCTCTTATTCTTCTGTTTTTCATTATTCTCCCTAATTCTCCTTCTCCCTTTATTTCTCAGTAATTTTCTACTGTTTATTCTTCGCCTCTTCCCAACACTCCCAATCGCTTCTCCTTTCTTTTTAATCACACTTTTTTCTTTATTCTTCATTTCCAAGAGTTTTCTCGTAAAATTATTTCTTTATAATTATATTATTACGATAATAATTCTATCTATCTATCTATCTATCTATCTATCTATCTATCTATCTATCTATCTATCTATCTATCTATCTTTTTTTAATGGCATAACAACGCATTATGGGTAATTCAATGCCGAAATTTAATTTTCTTAGAAGATTTAAATTAATTAAAATACGTCATTATGCTATCACAATTGAACACATGGTAGATAATACTCAGCTTTTGTGTGTACATATGTTTGTGAAAACATAATTACAAGAGACAGTGATGTGTTATTTTGTTAGTTTTGTTAAAACTATTTCACTTTTCTGAAATCTATCTATCTACCTGTTCCCTCATATCTATCTATCTATCTATCTATCTATCTGTCTATTTTTTCTCTTTTTAACGGCATATCAACTCTTTTGAGTAATTCAATGGCGAAATTTAAATTTCTTGACAATTTTAATGTCAGTATGCTTTCAAAATTGAATACATGGTAGATAAATCTCAGCTTTTGTACATTTGCATATAAATAATTATTAGTGGCGGTGATATGTGTGTTTCATGTTGTAGTTTTGTTGAAGTTTTATTTTGGAATACAGTTTGATTCTGAAATTGTCTGATATTATATGGATTAATGTCATTGAAGAGTTCTTTCATGTTTGTCGTTTGGTTTTGTTTAACAGTTCTATGGTTGATGGCGAAATCTAAATATTTTGAACGCAGTTGTATGCCTTCAAATACAGGTAAAACGTACTGTCGTTTCATTTTACTATAGATAGGTAATGTTGGTGATTTTTATAGAAAAAGTATTGCTGGTGTTTTTACTAGAAAATGTATTTTTATGTATTCATAGTGTTTTGTTTTTGTTTAGGGGTTCAATATTTGCCCATCGCTGGGACCCTGAGGGTGAAACTGGGAACAACATCAATTATGAGATGGTTCCGTACTCCTCAAAGCCTTCAAACTCTCTATCATAGTCCTTGCTGTCGGAAGTAGTGTGTCGTCATCTCTCTCTCTCTCTCTCTCTCTCTCTCTCTCTCTCTCTCTACAGACACCTATCTGTCTGTCGACTTGCACATACCTATTTGTCTGTCTGCTCGTGCCTATCTATCTATCTATCTATCTGTTTGAATCTCTATCTATCTATCTATCTATCTATCTATCTATCTATCTATCTATCTATCTATTTGAATCTCTTTATAATCTATCTATCTATCTATCTATCTATCTATCTATCTATCTAAATATCGTTATAATCTATCTATCTATCTATCTATCTATCTATCTATCTGTTTGAATCTCTTTATAATCTATCTATCTAAATCTCTTTATAATCTATCTATCTATCTATCTATCTATCTATCTGTTTGAATCTCTTTATAATCTATCTATCTGTTTAAATCTCTTTATAATCTATCTATCTATCTATCTATCTATCTAAATCTCTATTTATAATCTTTATCTATCTATCTATCTATCTATCTATCTATCTATCTATCTATCTATCTATCTATCTGTTTGAATCTCTTTGTAATCTATCTATCTATCTATCTATTTATCTATCTATCTATCTATCTATCTAAATCTCTTTATAATCTATCTATCTATCTATCTATCTATCTATCTATCTGTTTGAATCTCTTTATAATCTATCTATCTATCTGTTTGAATCTCTTTATAATCTATCTATCTATCTATCTATCTATCTATCTATCTATCTATCTATCTAAATCTCTTTATAATCTATCTATCTATCTATCTATCTATCTATCTATCTATCTATCTGCTTGAATCTCTTTATAAATCTATCTATCTATCTATTTATCTGTTTGAATCTATCTCTTGTAATCTATCTATCTATCTATCTATCTATCTATCTATCTGTTTGAATCTCTTTGTAATCTATCTATCTATCTATCTATCTATCTATCTATCTATCTATCTATCTATCTGTTTGAATCTCTTTATTATCTATCTATCTATCTATCTATCTATCTATCTATCTATCTATCTATCTATCTATTTAAAGTAGCTAACCGTTCGTATCCGAATATGCCTCCCTGCTAGGATGACTAACCAACCCATGTTGCGGAGGTCTACCCAGGTATATTTTGCGTTTGTCTGTGGGTTATACTGAAAATACGGTGGTTGGTTCTGAGATGGAGTTTCTGGGGAAGAGCGCATTATCTGGCATACTCAATAGTTTGAACAAAGCTAGTATGCCCAACCCTTGTCACTTCGGGCTAGCACACTCATGGACAGCCCCCAAACAGTTCCGTCTATCCAATTTCCCCCACAGGTTAAGGGTAAAACTTTGGTATGGTTTTCAGGCACATCCCAACAGAGCTCCAAGCTGAGATCGCACCCCCGGTCCGATAACTTCAAGAAGGTACTTTCTTAATAAACCGTCCATGGTGAGATTCGGGTCCTCATGGTCGAAAATCGAACAACACGCACCATATATATATATATATATATATATATATATATATATAAGAATATATATAGATATATAATCCGGTGTTCTTATAGATATTTTTATTTTTACAAAATAGTGCTCAATGTAAATTTACAGAGCATTAATATTATAAATTGATTTATTTAAAATATGTTTTTTTCGCTACACATTTCTAACCATGTTTCAAAAATGTAAGCTAAAATCTCCGAATTTAATTTTGTGATTAAATTAAAGACATTAGTTCCATTTCATCCTCAAGCGAATTTTGGAGTAACTTTAAAATTACTGGGTTTTAAAGACACAGCTAAAATCATAATTCACGTTTCCATGGTTACAGATAAATCTACTTCAACTGGACAAGGGTTGTCTGGGTGTTCATTATGTCTGTATTATTGTATCCGTTTTTTAGTTACGTTTTGGTAAGGGGTAGGGATGTATTTTTCAATATATATATATATATATATATAATCCGTTGGTAAATAATCCAAGTGAATCCTAAGAATATAAAATATTAAAACTGATGCCCAAAAAGAGCTCAGTAGTATTATTATAACAGAGCATATAAATTACATAGATTAAAATCCAAAGTTACCGCATTCTAAAATAAGTATTTCGACCCACAATTTCGAATATCACCATAGTCGATTTGTCGGGTTGTTATCGGATTGGAGGGGTCGAGCCCAGCATGCGGCACCTTTGGAAAGTGCTTGAAAACCATACCGAAGCCATGCGACCCAAGCCTTGTGAGTGAATTTGGTTAGACGACACCCTTAGCTGTGCTAACACGAAGTCAAAAGTCATCGTGGCCGAGGACTTGAGCGTGCTGGCCTTGTTCAAATTGATTATCACGCTAGATAACAGGCTATTTTCTAGAAACTGTAACTAAGATCTACTCACCATAGTTGCACTATAAACCGCAGTTGGGCTGTGCGTGTTGAATAAATACAAATGCGCCTGAGCAAGCGTCTGCAATAGGGATTGGCTTGCCTCGTTTGCCATATTTAACGAAATAATTTAAAAAGAAAGTTCGCTGCCCAAATATACATTAATATATATATATATATATATATATATATATATATATATATATATATATATTGTTTGTATATTGGTGTAATAGAAATTATAAGAACTTCTGGACTTACAATAAATATTTACAAAGATGTTGAAGATGAGGACGCACAAAGTTTTGCCTTGTGCCATAGAATGCTTATATTCCTACGGTTTATTCTCTATACTTGATTATTTTCTATTGTTTAGTATTTAAGCAACAACAACAACAACAATAATAATAATTACATGCCAGTCCCTGCAGACTGTAATGGATCATTGATGATGTTTAAAAAATTATCAAAAGACAAGTAATTTGAAGTTGAGATGTCCAAAATGAAGGCAGATAAGGACTTCAACAAATCCAGTTTTTGCTGGAGCCTTCGGATTGATTTGAAAAAAAAAAGATTCCAGTAGACTTAATGAAGGGATTCATGGTAGCCCATGCCTTAAAGAAATCACGAGAGCAGCCCACACCTCGTGAATGGTTTTATTTATGTAAAAAATGGGTAATCTTAGGTTGCTTTTTTTCCCCCTAAATAATGCTCAGTGGAAAATGGCATGATGCCATTTCTGACCTTAGGTCTCCAGTAGGGATCCTAAAAGAAACGAGTATACACCAGAAATCAAATGAAATAATAATAATAAATGCTTAAAATGCTTACGCAAATGAAGATGCCCTATCCGAAGTCAGATGTTGATAGGCTGTATGTAGCAAGAGCTTTACGATGCAGAGTTCTAATCTAACTTAACCTAACTCTAAAAACTACAACATTCGGATTCATAGCCTGCCTCACAAAAACCAATGACCCTCTCCTACAAGTAGTAAAACACCAAATCTATTCCATTAGCAAAGGAGCTGCACTCTTCAAGAAAAAGATTAATATAAGTCCTACTAACAAAACAATGAACTGAATACCGTCTTCCTCAAACGAATAAAAAATAAAGCAAAAAAAAATTGGCCCTGATCTGGCATCTCGTCTACAGTTGCTCTCTCAAAGACGTGCCGTCGCCTCTCTCTGTCTTTTTTCAAATACTTTCATGGTAACTGCTCCGATGAGCTGCTTTCGCTGATTCCAAGACTTCGCAAATTCAAGCGTCCTACGAGGCTGGCATCCCACTCTCACCTGTTAAATGTAGCCGCCTCTTCTGCTCCAATAGCTTCATACCTCGCACCTCTCGCCTGTGGAACTCCCTTCCCTATTCCTGTTTCCCTGGTAGCTATAATCTCCAACTATTCAACTGTAATGTCAATCAACATCTCCAGTTGCCTTGATCTATCCACTATCCTTCTCCTCAT